GGAGACGCTGCGCCGAGAGAATGTCGATCTTAGTAACTCATGGGATGATGATAAACTGATCCACTCACCGTTTTTAAATAGGTACGGTATACCGGACCCCAACTAATGGGTTCCGGTCTATTTCCCTTCTTCCAGGGACTTGGGTAGAGTACTTTGCAACACTCGAAAGAAATTGAGTTTCACAAAAAACTTGTCACCCGCTGCGTTTGGTTGAGAAATGAGAAAGGCCGATGCTAAGTACTATCCCACAACCTCCGGTTCGCCCAAAGGAAACTCCAAATATATATAAAATAATACAATATTCCATCTGGAATCCTTGAAGCCAAAGCAAGAAAGCACCATCCTACTTCATTTCATGCATGCCACATTGTTGAAATGGACATGTTTCCTGCAGTTCATATGAGCAAACATGGGAAGACATCCAACCCCAACTTTGTGTGTATGTTCCCACAAACACTTTCAATCCACTTTGCGAGTGGCGCGCACAGCTCCATCATTCACCTAGACTAGCACCCAACTGGGCCCAGGTCATCACAGGTCCACTTGGAAGTCTTCATTTCCGCCACCATGTCGTCGGACGGAGAAGGACCGAAGCAGTCGGACGAGTGGTCAAAGGATTTGGTAAGAAGACAATCGAGTTTGAACATGTAGACTCTTGAGTATGACATGATCCCCCAATGATCCCCAATTGAATTGAACAGTCTCTCCGTATTATTTATATGTGTTTATATGAATTTATCAAACGTCCTACGTGAATCATAGCATGACAATGACATGTGAATCAACTTGACCACGGCGACGACGGTTCACTTCAGCTCGGTCACCATTGCATGGGAGTCTTCCTGGTTGGCACTGAGCGCCTGGGACACGACGAAGGCTCCGTCTCCGCGACAACGAGCTGGGTGAGCTGCCAGGACTGGGTGAGCTCGGGATGGTGGATGGTTCACAGCCCTTGGCTCACAGCTTTTGGGGGCTATTTACATAGACACCCGGGTCCTGGAGGGGTCCTGGTAGTTCATGCCTGTTTCACTTTTGTTTTGAATTTTAATGGCTTATAGGTACAGTAGGTAAGCTGGCGCAATCTTGAGCATGGAATGAGTCGAACATTGCCATTACTGGACTTGATTCAATGGTTCAATCAATTTGCTGGTTTGAATGATGAGGTGTGTTTACCTACTACCTTGCATTTGGTTCTTTGATCTACCCAATCGACGTTCTTCTCCAGGCGGGGGGCAAATCCGAGCCAAAACACCCATCACGAGCAACTCGGAAGTCGAACACAACCACCACTAAAACCCTCTTCATAGCTAGGGATGCCTATTATTCATAGCCCAGGTTTTTCGGGGTGTCGTCCCACCCGGACAGTCACGGCTTCCCATCGACCGGTCTTTTTGCGCGACAGCGACGGACCGACAGTCCGTCGTCCGGGGCGACGACATGGACGAGGCTCGTCCAACCGTCTGGTTTGCTACGAGCTACATCGGCCTGGACAGTTACAATGACCCAAAGACTCCAAAGACCAGTCCCGACCCCCAAGCGATAGACCCAAACCCCGTCCAAGAGGATCCATCAATGAGCGTCCGGGGAGGAACTGACCTCCATCCAATTTCTATTCATTGACCAATTCGTGTCGGAAACATCTTCGCGTCCACTCCATCCACCTATGAATTAAATAAATCAATAAGTAGTAAATTGATGCAACTGTCCAATTTAATTTCAATCTTCACACGCCAGTGTCACCTTGAGTTTCATTCTTCCTATCTTCACCCACCAGTCGCTGGTCTCGCAGGCCGGAATCTCGACTTCGCTGTTGACTTCGCTGCTCTCGCGTCCGTCGCCTGCTGCGTCCGTCGGTGTCTGCGTCCATCGCCACAAAAGCCAAGAAACCAGTTCCTTCGGCGTCCTGCCCTTCGACGATTTCTGCTGGGGATCTGCCCCCAGTCGCAGCATCTGCCGCACCAAGTCTGCCTCGCCCTGGCGCGCTGCCTGCGCAAACTGCAGTGTGGTCGACTGGATGGAGGTGTAAACATCGTGCCGGTAGAAGTGGCGTTGAAAAGACTTGGGCCGAGCTGACGCTGCTATACTTCTATCCTTTGGCGCTTTGATTTCAAGAGTTACCATACGGCTGCACTTTTTCCACACCCAAATTCGTGATTCAACCCCAAAAGATTCTGCCTTCCAGCAAGCACCCACTCTTTTGCCTGTCGTATGTGTTTGGTGTTTTTGCTGCACACAAACATTAGGTGTTTCGGCAAAGCATGTCGTCTTTTGCGCTTCATGCTTTGGAGTTGGAGGCCTTTCCCGGTCTCTTTCCTCAGTAAAGAAACAAGAGTCATTAGCCAAGATATGTCAAAACCATCCAAAACCAACGTTTGCTCATGTGTCCGCCGTCTTTGCTTGGTAGCACAAATGGGTCAGACTCCAAGACTCCTTTGAATGTGATATGTTAGCATCTTTGAGCACAGAATTCCAAGGGTTTAAATGGTTCTTATATCCCAAAACCATAAGAGTTTATATATATATATCATATTATATGATATATTACTCTTCTGGCTTTAGGATGCTTTAGGTGATCGGTGATGTTCTGTCTTGACTCTTTTCCCCAAACCACAGCACCCCCCACCAAAGGAAGGCGCCATGCGTTCAGCCATGCGTTCACCCAAACAGCGCGGACATCGTGGAGCTCTCGCGCCTCATGGATGGGATAAAAAACTTCCGGTCTGAACAGGCAGCCGCGTACCTCGGAGTCAGACGAGTGGAGGTCATGGCCCAAACCATCTATGGGACTGGCATGTAACAGCATTATATATATATATGTATATATATATAGAGAGAGAGATATGCCTACATGGACCCCTTTTCAACCACCCTCATGTAACAAGCCAAAAAAGGAAAATATGGGTCTCAAATGCCACGAGAATGCTTTCTTGGTCTCATAGATGTTTTATCACGTGGGACGTATTTGCAAATAATTGCAACTTATTCACCGCTGACTGTTGTCTGTCTCCCCATGGGCTTGGTGGCATGGTGGTCACAATCTTCTTCTGTCATCCATCCTTCAAAGCCTCACAAAAGTTGACCAAATCATGGCACCTGTTTTCGTTACCTACTTTCTCAGCTCCTCTCTATATATATATATATACTGTATATATATAGTGATTCTCACAAGTTTCTAAGGACCCCCTTTCTCTCGGTTGGCCTACCAGGCCTTTTTACTTCTTCTGGTGCGCTGAAATGGATTGCCTTTAGATCGCTTCAATCATGCCTTCCGCCCCCAACCAGAAACCCGTCTTAAAACAAACGCACACAAACACAGCGGTGCACACCAGACCACACGACCACGACGAATCGAGCCCAATCGAGGCGCCTGTTGTGGCTCCAACACATCTTTGAAGCCGTGTTCTCGAAGGAAGACCTCAGTTTCCCGAGCTGCACGTTGTCCGTTCGGTCTGGAGGTCGCTTTTAGCACGGTCCACGGACGCTTAGCTGGCAGACAACCCTTCATGGATGTTTGAAATGAAGAACAAGAATGACATACGGTATACATCTGATTGTTTGAAACAGTTGGGAAAGAAAGGAGGGGTTTAGCTCACAGTCCTGCTGATCTGCTTGATTTGACGTATGCACCCCCCAAAGAAAGTGGCCCATCTGGGCATCAGTCTGTCATCCAATTCCCAGATCGGAATGGGCCGTAACATGTTGCCTGTAAACACTGAGATATCCAAGTCCATGCGCGCTGGTTGGTTGGTGGCAACGAAAGATTCCTTGCATGGTGGGATTTAATGGTATAGCATCCGTCACGTGATGACAGCGGTGTATATTATGTATATATATATATATATGCATGCATGTCCTTCTACTGCCAGGAAAATGATACTCAAAGACTCCCATCTCTTAAAGCTCTTTGAACTTGGGACAACGCCACGAGAGAAGTGCCATCAGATGTGCTATCGCAGTGAACACCCCAAGTCGAGTGCATTCGAGTGCCTATAAAACCACACGTATCGTGGTCCTTTTTCCAGCACTCGTGGTGTCGGCACCCCTGGCTCCACATCCACCGCCACAACCCGCAAGGGCCCAGGGCCCTGGCCTCCAAGTTCCTCCTTCGTTTCAACCGCGCCATCCTCCTTCGAACGCCTTTCGGCCGCGGTTCCAGGGGCTCAACACCTTCAGCTGTGACAGCCTTGGGCGTGCTGATGCTGCCCGGAAGCAGGCCGTAGGGCAGGAGGTCATGCGTGGCGTCCATGGCTGCCATGGCGTCAATATAAAAACCTCCCCAGTCACCGAGCCCAGAATGAGGGCAAAGGGCCGGAGCCAAGCGGAGCGTGGTGCGTAGCGGAGCGTGGTGCGTAACGGGTGTTGGGCGTTGAAAGGATGAGCTGTATGGGTTGCATCAAGAAATCCCATGTCTGGCAGCGAAGTCAGTCCCAAGTCCCAGCATGTTGAATGTCCTTATAATATACGCAAGACATTCATGCCAAACTACAGTGCATGTGACCAAAATCACGATGATGGAGATGAACAGCTAAGGTATACAATTTCAAAAAAACAAACAATCATCAAACCCATCTGGTGGAGCACCACAACTACAACACCATATATGTTAAACTTGATGTTATTTGTGTTTTCACATCTTGTCCGGCAAATCCGTCTGAAGAAGGTGAGGGATGGAAATCCGTCGTAACCGTGCGTCGACACGCTGAAAACACACCAATGGGACACGCTCGTCGCGTGTGTTGCGTGACGGATGGACCAATGGATACCGGTCAAACGGTCATCTGGATGGGTTCTATATGGTCAACTTGATGTAAAGGGAACGTCTAACGGTGGTCATTTCAGGGGTTATCTGTTGGGCATCTCATCTCCCAGGGCCCAGTGGATGAAGGATGATGCTTGCAGGGCTTGCAGGCCGTTCCATCCACCTCACGGCATCGTGATGTTCTTGGGTTCAACCCGGCGTCTCTGAGCAGGTCGGACCAGTCTGGGTCCGAGCTCGCGGCATTCGCCCGGTGGGGACCGCGTCGTTCCTGAATGACCAAGGAGCAAGGACGGAGATAGAGGTGATAGAGGTGATGAAGTGGGAAACACAGTAGTAACTGAGTCAAGATAGATTTTGTCTTGCCTCACCTGAGTCGAAACTGGAAGATATCCTGCTATGAGTTGTAGTATGATCTATGCCAATTCCAGCCTGTCAATATGGTCTTCAAACATGCAAAGACTGTGGCTGCGCGGGAAGTAGCCAAAGCACACTCGCAGCACTCTGTCATTCTGAATTTTCGCTGGTGAAGCCAGTGAAGCCCAGGCTTGTGTCATCCACCACACAAGCTAAGCGGCAAAAATAAACGGGCTCTTATAACGAAAAAAACTATTCCTTGGACATAGCCCATTGTAACAGTGGATGATGATGGTTAGCAAAGGCCTTTCTCAAGAATTATACTGTATTATATAACTGTAAAAACTATTGCAGCACTCAACATATATTCCCAGAATCTATTGCATTCTTGTCCATGTCCACCAGTCTCACATGATTCATCCTGGCTCCACCTTCGCATTGCGCGGTGGTTCGCGCCGCGCATGTGGAGATGGACGACCAATACACCTACCCCGCTTGGCACGTGTGGAGTTCGTCTCCGACATCATGACCCTCCGGCCCTGGCGAGGGCTCGTGAAACCCATCGAGGCCCTCCTCCATGATTCTGTCCAAGATTGTGGAAAGACACGGAGGCAAACTCTTGGTCTGATATATATATATATGTGATATATAGTTAGTTTCAATATTCACGATCATTTAAGATTTAAGGTTCCCAAAAGTGGAGGTTAAGGTCTGCCTTTTCTTTACGATTGTACCTGATTCTGCATGCAACACGACACATGCATTCCAAACCTCAGAGGAAAAGGGCAAATACACATCAATCATGAACCGTTCAGAACTCTGGTACAGTTCAGAACTCTGTTACAGTTCTGTTACAATAATTACCAAAGATTGTCCCTGAGGTTGCCGAATTTCAGTCTTTGGCGTTTGTCACGTAACCCCTCGTTGATCCCAAGCGGGCGGCGTCGGATTGGCCACAGTGTAGAGGGCCCAGCCTCGACAAAAGACCGACGTGTTTTCGTTCGGCCAAAGAGACACGGTTTTTACCAGCCGCCAGCCTGAAGATTTGAGGACCGTTTGGAAGCCACTACAATTAGATATGGAACTTGAAGAAAACTTAAGCTACTGATAGTAACATTAGTTTGCTCTTTATATCAATATCTATTTGTTGTAAAAAGGTAAAAACTGGGCCTGGGTTTTTGGGAACAAACGATTTGAAGCAGTGACAACTGGGGTTCCAAGTCCTCAACTGAATGACTCACAGAGCCACATCAAGCTGTAGATTGAAGTGATGCATACAAAACAGGAAAGAAAATGGTTGTTCACAGCAAGCCTTTACCAGCACCTTCCAACGGCTAGACTACCCCAAGAACTACTCCCAGCAATACCTCCAACGGATCGTCTAGATATGCTTTGGCTCATGGTGTGCTGTTGCCATGCAGAAGCCCGGCCTATCACTACGAGCAGAAGCCAAGGCAGCACTTGCCCCACCCACGCCTGGCTCGTGGGCCGCGTGCCGGAGGTCGCTTCCGGCGGTCCGGCAGCATGTCAGCTATAGCTGCATGGATCTCAGGTGGTGACTTTTGACAGCCACCAGAGGTTGAAGAATCTTAGTTCGATTATCCCCTATGTACCCCAGTAAGGTCCTATAGGGTTATTTAATCTCTCTTGGTATTCATGTTATTTCATGTCGGAGGACAATCACAAAGCACCACACCAAATGAACCCGCAACTGAATGAGTCTGCATCCTCTTGGTGAACCTGGAGAGGAGCAAAATGATCCCCCAGGTTAGGAGCACCAGGACCAAGACGAGAACGATATTTAAGACTTCGCTGCTTGAAGTGTCGATGGATCATGAATGATTTCAGTCTGTTTCAGTTCTTCCATCAACCCAGGACCGGTGAAACAGCCCAATCTAATCCAATGATCCGATAAAGGAGCCTTAACCGGCCTGAAACAGCCATGTTATAGTTCCATGTGGACTTGTTCAAGAACAGACTCGTCAAAATACCAGAGTCTTGTATAAGTTCATGCACTCGAGGTCACTCATGTACCCCTTATGTAACATGCTAAACCTGTAGTCTGGCTACCCTTGCTAAACCACCATGAGTCTGGCTGGCAATGATTCATGGATTATCACATGAACAAAAACAACATGGAACAGCTGACTCGCGACAGGTGATGTGTTCATGCCAAATGCTCTGACGCCCCGCCACGACCGGCGACCGCCCTGTTCGACCGGCGCCCGACCAGATCGGTGTCCCAAGAAGAGCTTTGCACCTGGCCGAACAAGTCAAGGCACCCCAGCGGTGAAAATGATAGAGATGGATAGCCCCATCGACCAATGCGTCCAACGAGGTCCGGGTCTCTGTCCGAGGTCAAGTTCCTCTGCTGGTCTGAGCTGAAAGAAACTTTGATCCCACGTCCCCCTACACTGATTCCCTCAGTTTCCCTTGAATAAAACACTTATAACCCTTTTCCATCTGAGCATATTCTGTGGGGTGCCTCCAATCCCCCAAAAAGGTTAAAGGTTATCCACTGACTGGGTAGGTTACATGTCCCCCTACAGTTCCCTCTACATATCCCTGCGACTTCTCTCATTGGCTCAGTCAATGGCAGAAATGCCTTTCTTCGGATTCCTGAAGGAATGTGCGGCTCACGAAGGGCCATCCATTCAGTCAATCGTCGGCAGTCAAGTCACCGACTTTGGGTGCAGGAAGTGTCGGGACCAATGTCTTCCAGAAGGTTGAGTATAATTGGGGTTGAATAATGCGCTATGAAAGGTTTGACAGTGACAAAGGACTTTATTTGATTAATAAACGTATTGACTATTCAACCACTATAGTATAGACAAATGATGACACATGGCTCACCTCAAGGTTAACTAGAACGCGTTTCATTCTCTACTGGTCAAAGGATCTCATGAAGCCACTCTACCGGGGGAGTCTTGTCCATTGACAAATCATAGCCATGCGCCATATGAAGGTACGAACTCCTTCACGGTCAATTCTGGTCGTTTTCCAGGAGTTGCATCCTTTCCCAAGCACAAGCCATCTCTTCACCGGTGGCCGCCCCCCGTACATCGCACGGAAACCCGCGTGCGGCACCCGCACTGCACGCGCGCTGCACGCGCCTTGAGCCGCTGGACGGCGCGGAGCGCCTTGAGCTTCGAGACCTCCTCGCGGTACACGAAGTCCTCGGTGAACATCGACGGCCACCGTTGTGACCAAATATGACACTCGCCGCCGAGGTCCAGTTACTATATCTAGAATAATATAGTAACTGGACGTAACTGGACTTATATATCATAGTATTATAGTGTATATTATATGTAGATAGCAGCTGATCTTGACGTGTCTCTCATAGAAGTATGCCTTAGAAAGCTCAAGCAAACCAAGGCTCATGCATCGGGGACTGGAGTGGACCGATTGACCGGGATTGGAACACTTGTCCATCAACATGGTGGTCATGCGGGCCCAACACGGGTCCCAGCTCCACCTGCAGCCTGTTCACTGAAGCGCTCAATAGTGGCTTCAATTTGAAAGGGCACGCAAAAGAGAAGACTAGAGAAGTTGAGAATATCTTCTTGTTCCTAGTAGTACCCTTTTTCCTAGACAAAAAATGCCAGGAGCTACTACTAGCTTCTGAAGTGGGCCTTGTGGGCCCACTCACTTAGTGGGCGCGGGCCAAGGCTCGTCTTCGAAATCGTCCAGGGCGCCACGAGGCAAACACGAACTTCGACTGGTCGAGCATCGCCTCCGGGACACGTCGGACGGTGACAGTCAACGTCGGGTTTTGGCGAACGAACCATGCACGGTTTTGGCGAACGAAGCCTCAAACAAAACATGTTTTGTTATTATGTTATGTTAATTATATTTGTTGTATATGATGTTGCTTTATATGGTGTTAATCCTTAAGCATCATCTTGGGAACTCCTGGGTTAACAGGATGTTCCGAAGTCCTGGGATTTTGCACAAAGAGATGTTCAGCACTGCGACGAAGCTCCGCAACTTGGATAGCCCGAAGCTGTGAGGCTGTGATTCATGATTATTAGATGGATCATCCAAGGTGTCCATAGGAGATCCCGAAAGAAATTTCATGGTCAGAGCTTCGAGCAAAAACGGATGCTCCTAGCTGAAGCTTCAACCCAGCAACATCCAGCAAACAAACCATGTTCAGAGGTGCGCTGCACTCAGACCGTGGCGGATGGTGTGTTTCTGAGCATGGTCCGCAGATTTGTTTTCTGAGTTTGGTCCGCAAATGTTCTATCAAAGGACACTCATTTGTTTGTCTATACTGTATACCCAAACACTCCTGTCATCCGGTCGTTTCTCCAGAGTCGGGGGTCGTTTCTCACAGCGGTTTTTTTTCTGTCACAGAATAGGTCGAACGCCAAATCTATTCCAGTGGATCCCAGTTGCCACTGTATAAGAAACCAGGCGTCAATGTCTTTGGAACCACTGGTAACTGGATCCACAAACAATGACCTATGGTATAGCAGTATGATGTAGTATATGTGCATATATATATATACATAATTATGTATAATCCTAGAGATGTCTTTTTATTATGTGAGGACACCTCCTTTAAAATGACCAGCAATTGGTCCAGGGCTATGGCTCCAGAATCGGATGGCCACAACAACCCACTGGTGCACTGTCTTCCTCTGGCATCACTTCTTTGACCATCTCCATTCCCTCACCTCCTACTCCCCCATTCCCTCACCTCCACATGAAGAGAACTAGTTGTCACCCGCCGAATTTCCCAGCCTTCCACACCCACCGAACATTTCTCGAAGGGCTCTCTCGCGCTTCTTTGATCACGCGAAATCGGGCGTGGTGGGGACTCCAATGCTGGAAGGCTCAGGAGCGCTCGGATGCTCCTCCAGAGTCATGTACTTGGCGTAGCGCCGCCGCAACAGCAAGACATAGATGCTCAAGCAACATAACACGCAACCTGCGGCTGCGGCAGGTGAACATAAAAAATAACATAAACTAACCATGTTACAACCTATATGCAAATATATGCATATACGTTCCAGAAAGGAAAGAGTCGCACCTGCTTGCTTTTGCAAAGAGAAGCAAACAGGGAGCATCCGCAGTCATGTGGCTGAAGGTCAGGATGTTTGGTGAATGCTCAACAAGTGCGATGTCTGCCAAATGGAATGTTAGTACTGGAGTATGTTCAAATCAAGCTAATTGAGTTAAGAGGGACAGTTGCAGCAAGCGTTGTCAACGGATGGACGCATCAATGGGGATTCAGGCCAAGTGATTGTGTCCACACCAACAATAACGGGTCACGGTCAAGCTGTTGAAGTGATAGGCATGGTCAGTCAGTGAGTGCCGATGGGATCATAACATGCCTGTGTTGCTCAAAAAGCAACGCCAAATCACCAAAACAATAGCTAAATGGATCTAGATGGACATGGAACATGACATGTCCATGGGGGAGGGAATAGACCATCATCACTGTAGACTATAGATGGTCTGTTCTTTTCCTTGTGGGCGAGGGCGTATATATATATATATATGTATAACATGCAGCATGAAAAGAATAGACCATGAACAACCTCTACAGTGATGTGAGCGACGGCCAGAATGCCTCTGTGAAAGGACGTTTGCAGCACCGAAGTAGCGTCTGCGGGGTTTCACCCTGCATTCATGTTGTCTCCCTTGTGCACCTACTTTCTGCAACACCTCATGAAACGAAGCCAACGAGGCAGCTCCTCCAAACCCCAAGGACCGGGGATGGGGTCAAAACCTGGAACCCCTCTGACTCATGTAACGACACCGGGTAGGTCAAGGTATGCCAGCTCCCCACAGCCAAATAGACCATCTCGACTCGCCAACACTGCTTGGCTGGCTCCATGTCGCCCACGTCCCGACCATTCGATCGATGCAGTCGAGTCGCCCACCAAAGCTCCCACCAAGACCAAGGCCATGAGGTTCAAGACCTCATGTGGCTAGTTGATCACCCGGTGTGCGTAGTTCTAAGCTTCTTGCTTTCTTTTGTTGCTTGTGTGCATCTCTGGTGTCGGACCTTTGTTTGTGGTTTCTATCCTTCAAACGGACCGTGAGACCTTTGCTGGTGTTTTCAACCCACTTGAAACATATGAGTCAGAGGGTCCAATCATCCCCAAGTAAGGGTTGAACATAAAAATATCCGAAACCATCACCTAGCTTGGTCTTTTTGTCCCGGTGTGACACTCCGAAGTTTTTGCACCACACTGTCCAGGACTGAAGACGTCCACCGCCGGCTCGAGCTCTGCGGGCTGGGCTGGGCTTAGAGCTGATGAGTCGACGTGGAGAGCAGCGAGGAAGCCTCTTTTGGGACAGGTTCCTCGTGATTCGTGGTCTTTGGTTGGGGAAACGAGTGGAGTCCACCGTGAAAAGCCAATTCTAGCTTGTGCAAGCTTCTACAAAATCACAAATTTGAAGCAGTTTGCCTCCCTGGCTGTCCTCCACTTTCCCAAGTACAGTATAAAGCCAGTTTGAGGCCGTGACTCAAGCCATCTACATCCAGCCATTAGACTTCCAAAGGGATCCGGATACAACTATCCCGCCTCTATATACACTAAACACATTCAGCTTCCCTCTCTTCCAGGGAGAAAGTCCAAGAAAGAACCACCACAGAACGCCCAGCGTCTCCCGGGCATGGCTCCCAGTACTCCTTGGGCCGCTGAGCACCGCCCTGGCATCCACTGGGCGCTACGAAGGAGACTTTCTGCCCACGGATGGGGTCGCATTGCGTCGGGGCCAGAGCCTCCCAATCACCTGGGCGGCGAGCGGTGCACGCACCGAGAGTGCTGCAACAACGGCGGGAAGAAGCGACCGTGCGCTTGGAAGAGGCTGGTGGAAAAGCCAAGAACAACCGAATAGGCCGGCGAACGGCACCACATCACCACATGAAGTGATCCAATCATACCATATTGTCAATCGGGTGCGGAGTTGTTTGTTTTCCGCTGCGTTTGGGTTTTTTTGTGCAGTCGTGGTTTCTCTGTAGTTCTTCCAGTGGAAGTGGAAAGCTAGCTGTTTGAAACAAAAAGCTGTCCGGGAGGCCATAGGCCATCTAGGGCATGTGCACAACCCAACTGGACCATGAGGCCAAAACAACAAAACCTCCGGCAGGGCGAACAAACATGAGACCATCAAAATCGAGAGTACAAAAACAACATAAGTGTTGCTCATATGATGCACCTGGGCTGTCCCTTGAGTCGAAACACAACGCAACAACCAGTACCAGTAGTAGAGCAAAAATAACAGAAAAACAAACGGAATAGACAGCAACGCCACATCAAGGCTTGAGAAGCAACCAATAAAAGCGACGGCAACAAAGGCCATAGAAAGCAAAAGCAGAGAAACAATACGCAACAAGAGGACAAGTAGGAAAGTAAAGACATGCAGGAGAAAAGCCAGGAAGAGCAAAACAAGGGTTAAACAAGCAGGAAAAGCAAAACAGCTGAAGACATCACAGGGAAGCAATAAAAGCAAAGGAAAAAAGGACAACAAAAAAATACACTAACCCAAAACACATAAATAATAGAGAGGCAATGAAAAACCATAACAAAAACAACAAAAAACAGATCCAACTAATCAGCAAAATTGACCTAAACGCAACACAAACAAATCACCAAAAACATAGCCCGCCTTATTAATCTGCTCCAACCAATCTGTCCATTTGACTAAATGTCCCAAAGAACCCATTCAAAAAATCAAACATCTGCAATCTTGCAATCCCTATACAACGGAATACAAGAAAATGGAGGCTCCAAAAGAATCAACAAGTATACCCACAGGTGACTTGGTCTAGTTTGCAACCGAGCCGGCCGCACCTTCGAACACCCAGCCCCGACCACTTAGCACTTGCCCTCTGCTAGCTCTAAGCAATGCCATGATATGCTAGCTGCTATCACTCACATTTACTGTCATCTACTCAATTGTTCTGTTTTTCCCAAAAGGAATATTTGCAATATGAGTCAGCGGCTGATATCGGAGATGAGAGAATGACAAGCATGATATCCGTCCTTCAATTCTGCGGGAACTCTGAAAAATCGTCCGTTGCTGCTACCCAATCCTGTGCGACCATACGGGGTTCTCCATCGCGTAAACACGCGACCAACACCGAATCCACGAGTGAAAACCGATCGCTTCGCGCCGGTGTCGCTCCTTAGGACCTGCGTTTTCGAGGGAGACCTTCCAGTTCAACCGCCTGCAGTTGGGTTCGGAACCCCGAACTGTCTACCCGCTTTTTGTGCGATCCGCAGCCTGTTGGTGTAGACTGTTGATTAATTAACAGCCGCATAATTAAAACAGAATCTTAAAGGTATTTTCAATAATGGATCGAAATGGGATGAAATGGTTTAATAATTATCAAGAGTCTACATTACAACCCCCAAAGCACTCCCCAGTCGCCTGGCTGGCAGACGGGACAGCTGTGCCGGCTCCGCCACTCCAGCGCCACGGGTTCACAGCCTTCCACGGAGGGTGGGTGCATAGAGCTGAGCATGCGGAAGTCCTCCGGCGCCGCATCTGGGTGACCTCGGGGTGTTCAAAATGGTGAAGCTTGGAGGGTTGCTGATGTTCTCTACTCTTGGATGAAGAAAACGGACTCTTTAGAGAATAGGGTGAAAACTCTTCTATATGGGTTGTTGTTGTTGTTGCTGTTGTTGTTGTTGGTAGAAACATGCTGTAAATCTGGAACTTCAAGGGGGCAAGGTTAGGGATACGGTTTAAGGTTTGAGGGTATAGCTGGACTTGTTGGACTTGTTTCGCTGAAGTCTGGGCTGGTCCGATTTTAGTGTTTTTGAGGTGTTGTTCTGGAGGGGGGTCCAAAAAACAACAACAAGGCTGCAGTCTTTGTGTCTAGTAGGGGGTAGCGGGTCGAGAAAACAACACCTTTTGAGGGGGAGTCCAAAAAAGAACAACAGGGCTGCAGCTTTTGTTTCTTGGATGTGGTAGAGGTTCTAAGTAGAAGTTTTACAAAGGCTTAGTTGATCAGTTACTACTACCACTACCACTGCGACTACACCTACGACGACGACTGACTACTACTAAGGTACTACCACTACTGCCACTACCACTACCACTACCAGTACCACTACCACTACGACTACGACGACTACTACTACTACTACTACTACTACTACTACTACTACTACTACTACTATCTACTACTACACACTACTACCACTACTGGCAAAAGTATACTTGTTGGCTGGTTGCTTTTTTGGCGGGCAAAAAACGACAGGGCTGCAGTTTTTGTCCCAACCCCTTGTAGAGACAAAGGAAGAAAATATGTTGTAACGGGGTTGCAGGTTTTGTTTGAACCTCATGTACATCAAGAGTCTACATAAATGTTGGGGTTTTGGGAGATTCACATAGCCAAGCCAAAATATCAAACGCAAAGTTAGCAGGTTTGGACATGTTTGGACTTGAGCTTTCGATCAAAGGATCGCCCTGGGAAAAAGATCTACTGTACAATACTGGTTACTGTATAGTTGCTTCGAGTGATTCCCACCATGGCATTCTATCTGGCACATATTATAGCAAGGGGAAATACATTCGGTTGAAGAAAAGAAGCTCCGGTGAGTGGTTCCATCACACCTTCAGGGATTCGGTTTATAATAAGTTATATATATATATATTATATTATATTATTGTGTATATATATATATGAGGGAGTCTGAGGGAGTCTCAAAAATCAGCTGATTCGGCAGCAAAGTGACAATCAAAAAACGTTCCACCAAGCGTCAGCTGAGAAGGAAGTGAAGCCTTCTATGCGAAGGTTCACCTTTGCTGAAACTGCATGACTGAACGATGGAAATGGAACTTCCAAGCTGTTTGTACATCCTCGCATCGTCTTGGAGTCCGCAAATAACCATAGCACCGAAGCGCTATCAAGTGCTGAAATTGTCAGAAGGTCATGTCGTCCCAAAGCTGCGAGCTTCACAAGTTGCCTCTACGAGCTTCACAAGTTCACAAGTCGCACCAGAAACTCATGGAGGCTCAACAAACACCTTCGAGTCTGCAAAAGATATCTGTTCAGGGTCCACATATAAATATATTGTTTTGACATGTTTTGAAACGCCCTCTCTTGACCTTGTGGCTTCCCCCCAATTAGCCCAGGCGCCATTCTTCATGCAGGGCCCGAGAAAGGTGAACCAAAGCCCAGCAGGCATCCCCTCATTGGGCTTCACGGCCTCCAGCAAATCCTTGTGACGACGCGCGAGTCAACTGACCCACCGGAGGAGCCACCGTACGGAGCGCCCAGCACGAGTCTTCCCTCGCGGGCTGGAAATCCGATGTTCTAAGATGTTCGAAGGCCTATGGCGGATTCCGAGCTGGATCGTGGCATTGTAAGCCAACATGCAACCAGACTGCAACTATATGCATGTGCTAGATACTGCAACAATGTGGATGATTTTCCAGTGGCCACGGGTGAGAAGCTGTAACCCTTAGGTCCACCCACAAAAAAACATGAACTGAAAAAAAGTTTGAGAAGGTGGGATGTTCCCGGATCGTATATCAAGGTCCAATCACCCACTGCCTGGAAGGTTGAGGTGCTTGAAAGGTGTTGGATAGTCCCAAGTCCCGAAGTTCCAATTGGACCTTTCCAAGGAATTGGTGTAAGGGATCAAGCACCACCAACCCGACACCACAACATACTACCCCCGGCTACCACAAATCCCCACCATTCCCCAAAGACTTGGACCCGTGCAACAAGTGCATCGTGGTCCTGGTGCGTAAACTTTGTTCTTTGCTCAGACCAAGTCACAAGACAGCTTGGAGGGCCAAAAAGGAAACAGCTGCTTGCATCTGCTTACCTCTCAGCCTTAAAAACCACAGATCTCTGCGAACCCCTCCACTGCCGCCTTCTGCTTTGAAACCGAGTCTTCTTCCCCTTCCGTCGCGCCCGGGGCGTCCGACTCCCCGGACTCCCCGCTCCTCTTCGGTGGCTATCCGAGGCACCACGAGCGGCCGCACGAAGGCGGACGCCGTGCAGGTCTGGTCTTCGGCTTCCTCCTCGGTGCCTGGGCCGGCCGCATCTCGCGGCCGAGGAGAAACGGGCGACGGGCGACAACGGGACGACCCGTTTTTCGTTGAGCGGTCAGAAGAGTGCGGCAGTTCGGTCGCTCCTTATAGTAATGTTTCACAGAGATGTTCGGCCATGACCTGGATGAAAGGGGGTGACGCCTGGGTTAGACTGTCCTTACCCTGTTGGGTTGTTCCAACAGTGCCACGTTTTCGGTCCCACTTTCATCCATTGGCCGCGGTTCCGCCAAGTTGACCCCAAAATGCCTTCCTTCATGAGCCAACCCTGCCGTGAAGCAAAACGCCTCATCTCCAATAAGGGACATACAAGGTAAAACATTGTCAAAAACAAATGTCCAGGGGCAAACCTCTTTGCATTTTTCACACCCAGCATTGCTTTCATTAGAAGGGTCCAATATGTCGCTATACTTATGTCTCTTCCACTCGTTGTCCAAGGCACGCGGTGGCAAAGCTTCCCAGGCATAGGCCTTCTGGTGCAAGAATTCTGAACTCGCGCCTCCGCGCGCACGGCACGGCACGGGCACGGCAGAACAACCATTTCTTCACTTCTTTCGACAAAGGAATTCCACGAACCACGGGCTGTTTGGAACTCTTTCACTGACAACCCAGGAAAAACAAGGGAATCCATGCTGCACTCGCAAGTTCATGAGTCATGGTGTTCGACCCAAGCAAATCCATGTCAACCTCGACGACTCCACTCTGGTGGCCGGAAAAGACCCCCTTCAAACGAAAACTCCAAGCCAAGAACTTCGGTCTTCACCCTTCTGAGTTGGGGTGCTTTTCGTGGACCCTGAACTCCTCACGTTTCCGATCAGTTTGAAGGCGCTGCTAGGCGGGCATAGCACACAAGAACTCAACTCACTGGCCACCGTGATATCGCATAACATCTCCCTGCAACACTGCACATAGGTGCATATTGGGCATGTTATGGTATGATATCCTATTGCAATGAACGGTGGATGATGATTGTTAGTAAAGGCCTTTCTCAAAAAACAGGTTCTTTGTATGATTCCACAATACCTACAAGCTCCATACGAACTGCTTCTTTGATCCTGAAACCAGCAATGCGCCATTCAAAAAAATCAAGCAGTACAGTGAACCTTCTTTGCATGGAGCGGTCGGAACATAAACTCAATAGGTAAAATATGGTAAAGTGTAAAGGTCACTCACACGATACGACAGTATACATATTACATCACGCGTAAGCTTGGTCGGTCAAAAGCAGTACTCTGGTATTGTTTACGGGGTCATGAAACCAAACTAGGACCAAAAACCTGTCCTAAACCATTACAGTAACTGGCCGACCAAGCAACAGTTGAGCTGACCGACAATGTAATCACTGATTGTCATGAGCAGGTTCGAAGCGGGCTTGACTGCAGGCTTTTATCTGTTCATTGTCTGCTGGCTTCCTGTGCACGAAGAAAAGAATGAGGCCCAATGCTGAGCACCCCGTGTGGAAACCAATGGTGCATGGTTCGGACACAAAATTAGAGTCTTTGCAGCGGAACGGCGTACCACAGACGGACGTTTTCACCTTGAAAGTTAAGGTTGCGGCGTGTTCTTATGTAGTGCCTTGCACCAATTGGCCCTTTTGGGGAAAAGGCTTGGGTCTTTTGTCCAATCTGGCTATAGTAGGCTCTTGACCATATATAGTTCCTCCACGTAAAACAGTGTCGCGCCGTCGTCTGTGGCAGTCAAGGCACATATTCCATTGCTTTGTGCCCGTTGATGCCATGAGCTTCCGTCATGGGCTCATCCAGCAAGTATAAGTGTTCTGCTGGCGGCCACCTGCAACCCTTGTCTGATGAAGATGTCGTGCCACTCAGGCCATGTGTCTCGATGCTCGACCTTCACTTGATGTTGTGGTCTTCCTCTCCCTCTTTGGTTGTGGCTGCGCTGGAACTCCTCACTGTCACACGTTCATCCTCATGCTCACCACTTGCCGGCTGCACTGGCCTCAGGTGTAGTGCTTGGTCCAGCTTGTCATGCTTCTCTTCATCCTCTGCTTCTACCAGGCTCCTCTGCGTCCATGTTGCTCTTCCTCCTCTGACTCTTTCTTCTCTCATAGTTTGCCCGCAGGATTGCCCAGCAGCTTTGCTTCAGCAGGTTAGAAGGCACAGTGAGGTGTCTGGCTTTTCTTTCGCCGCTTCCTCCCCAGGTCACCAGGAGTCCAGGAGTACACCATGGGGCATTAAACAAGCGCCGAGGCCGACAATCCCCACAGGCTCGTTACTGCCTGTAAGAAGCTAGCACGCAAGAGCGCGCTGCATCTTTTCCAGCATTTCATATCAAGCGAGATGCAATGCTGCTCGTGCTTCATCATGGCCTGATGTGCCTTGCAACGGTAACCCGGGGAAGGCTGCGTATTTGGCCGAGGGTGGATCCACCATGCTGTGTTGCTGATGATGGTTGTTTTGGTCAGGCTTATCCCTCCTGTAAGGGCATGAGTTTTGCACTCTTGCAGCCGTGCGGCGCACACGCGAACGGTCCGGCAGCTTCGCATGAGGAGAGCACACCCTGCAAAGCCGTAGCGTATCCCTTCTCATCATCGGCCATGATGCGTGGGAGCAGCCATTGATGTAGCCCGGCCAAAGTTACAACCATAACCCTGCCACCTGCCAGCATGTTGAACAAGGCCAAGCATCCATCGGTGACCGCTCTAATGTTGACTGGGGGAAGCTGGAAAGTGCCACATGATTCCTCCTCCTTTCTTCAATGTAGTCTCAAGCTGGCCAAGATGCAAGCACAGTCGTGACGGTTGAGTAGATGGATGCGAAAGTCATTTTTACTATAGCGAGGGGTTGGGGAACTCTCTGTCGCTCCTTGGCTCCCTTTTTAGTGGGGATGCTCCTTAGCTCCCTGCTGAGGACCAGACTTTTCCTTGCCAGCTTCTCATGCTGCAGGTAGTGAACAAACTTAAGAGTGTACAACTCAATGGCACAGCTGATTAACCACCTTTGGGGCCACGGTCCTACCCGGATCCGTCGTCTTACTTACCTTTCCCCGTCTGCCCTGAGTTTACCCCAAAGCTCCACTACCATGCAGCGGAGTGGCGTACCACAAACGGACCCTGTTTTCACCTTGAAAGTTAAGGCTGCGGCACAGGCTTATGTAATGCCTTGCAGTTTTGGTTAAACCATCCCTACGGCTCCAACCACATCCTCAGCTGTCCCTAGCTGAAGGAAATGGTTGGAGCGGGGTCCACTTTCTCTCTTTTGGACTCTTTTGGGCCAACAACATGGCCCGTCACCGCGCTGCCTTGGAGCTCCATGGGCCGCAGCAAGTTCAAGTAGTAGACCTTGCAGCATGGAGCGCTGGTTTGGGCTCCCTCTTCGTTAGAAGAAGGTTCACGCCATTTCGAGGGTCCCAAATTCGCCAAGCAATCCTCCCCCAAAAAAATGAACGGAGTGATCCAGTCGTTGCCTCTCTCCGAAAACCAAGCCCCAGGCCCTCACAGCCGGCCCTACACACGGCCGAAGGGCTCGGTCTTCGACAGAGATGCGATGAAAGCCTTCGCGGCCTGATATGTTCTTCCAGCTGTCCAGGAGTCGTCGAACATCCCAGGACAACTGGCCGTCGCCGCCTCAAATATGTGCGATCCAAAGTCGGAATCCGTTGAAGATCGGATGATTCCAGGCTTAGCCTCATTTGTCACATGTGTCACTGGGAGTGGTTAAACTTAAAGGAACAATGGACGAAAGGATCTGGTGTTCTTGGATTCTGCCTTGACACTACATGAGTCAGGGAATGTGCATTTCGATATGTTGTGTTTTTGCAGGTCAATTTCCCTAACACTGGGACTGTGCAAATTGAAGTTGGAAACATCCGCCAAGCAAATTCAGCCGCTGACCTCCACTCTTCCGAGGTGGTCACCTCTACTCTTTCGAGGATTTGTTTGCTTCGAGTTAGGTCCAAGACCTTAGGGGAGAGTTTGCTCCAACAAGTGGGGCACCATTGGCCACCAGATCGTGGCAGGGCGGCGGTTCTTCCACTTCCAGCAGCCGCCCTTTTTCACAAGTCCGTCGGGACGGCCGAGGTGCCTAGCTTGGCTTTGGCCTTGCACACGAGGCCCTGTCCACCCACCTTGGTGCCTGGCCCACCTAGGAGAGTGGCCAGAAAGTGGAGGACAACGCTGCACTGCTGGTGGTCGCTGGTTTGGTTGATCCAAATCGAGATGTGTTTGAACAAACATGTTGGATTTTTTGGTAAACACTTACCCAAAAGCCGGTGGATCTGAGTTATGCTCAATTTGGTGCACCCAAATTACAAGGCTTACAGGAAGAGTAAAGCATGAAAAACAATGTGAGAACATGTGAGAACCTACTGTGGCCTGTGAAACCAATCTTCTTCATATGCAGTGATATGCAGTGGAGCTAAAAATGATTGGGTTCATTGTGTGAGGGGCACTCACCAATGTGTAGATTTGTCAACTGTCATCACCAGAACCCTAGCTTGGATTTGGTTGAGGGCCTAGAAAATACAAAGCATACCCTATGAATCCCCACCAGAATCACAAAAACTGGGCTATCAAAACACCCGTAGTACCACAAGCCAAGCCAGGTTTGGCACGAATTCCTCTCCAAAGAAACGTCTCTTCAACTTCCAAGCCGCATGGCATACATCTTCCACCCGCGCGTGCATTCGCTGTGTTGGCGCCACAGGGTCTGCAGCGGCCGGAGCTTTCTTCCGTACCAGGGGGGCAAAGCTGACAGGTGGAGGAACCTCAGTGGCTCGAGGGATCCGCTTTGGATGTGACTGGAATCAACTGGTGCCCAAACAGGCTCCAGTTGCACCGGTTCAGCTGCGGAAGCTATTTGGGCTGGGCGCCAGGGCCCAAAGACCTTTTGAGGAGGTACTAGGAGCCCAATAGGGTTCTGTCAACATGTTTTGGTTTAAATTGTTCTTTCTTTTTCTTGCAGACTTTTCTATGCATCCTTGTGCTCTTGATGAATCCCAGCACGAGAGGGAGACCACCATAAGGTTCGTCAAGTTCCCGAGGATCCAAACTGCTGGTGGGTGGCCGAGCTCCTGCTCAACAATACTGGCAATAGATTTGGTGTCTATTGGGGTCTTCATAATCTGCTGGACATGGCTTTCTCATTGACTGATGGGCATGTCCTACTTCGGGAGGGTGAGCAAAACTTTTTGAAGCAAGCCCATTCGGCGGTCATTAACCTGAACCTCACATGCCCAAAAGAGAACCCGTCTTTCGTTCTCCAACGCTGCTGATCGCCAGAGATGGTCTGATCCGGCATCCAAAGATCCAAGTGGATCCCACAAAAAAAAAAAATCCAAATAAATCCATCCAACTATGCCAAATCCCCAAAAGCATTGGTTCCATTTTGGGTCTGCCCAATCCATCCACCCCATCCACCCTATCTCTCTCGATCCAGGTGTCCATTGTAGCGCCCATGGTTCGCTGGACACGCACGGCAACGGCCACGGGGGGCACCTGACCGGGGTGACACCAAAACATGTTTCAATCGTCTTACAGCTAATGTTGTTGGGGCTGTTGGGCGGCTAATGTTGGTGCTGTTTCAGATTGTGTTGTTGTTGTGACGTGCAAAGATATGATACATAGGATTTTCATTCAGATCATACTTATTATAGTTATTATGTTTACATATGTTTGCAACAGTTGCTTTGAGCCTCTGGAAGGGTACCAACCAATGCGGCGTCTTGTTTTTTTTTGAACGCTTTGGCAAAACTATGGACGATGCTTTTGGGATGCGAGGTGCAAACATCATCAATGGTCTATAGTGTGCAATTACAGCGTGAACATTAAGGCAAACCGCAAACAGATTAATGTGAACAGGCCTGGGAGAGCAATCCATTCCTATAAGGAAAACAGTGATATATTATATTATGTGATACTGTCATTGATATATATATATATATGTAACGTATATATCATGTCAAAGTCATCACAAGCCTCATTGGTCCTTTGCCTTGGAAACATCGTCTTCACCCAAAAGTCTTCCAGCCACACAAACCTCGGTCCTGGTAGCTTCCACCATGTTGCATCCCACCATCGGGTCCTTCCTGTCCGATCCCATCATCGCCCCAAACTCTCCACCCCTCAGAACGGCACTCTCCCTGAAGCTCATCCATGGTGGAAGTTCTTCAATCTGAAGACCAGGTGGCTTTCACTCCACCTAACCACCCCCATGATGCTTCCTGCCTCACCGGACACGAGCTTGCCCTAACCCACCCCCCCACCTCGCACGTTGGTCACGGTGACGTTCCACAGCTTCACACCCATCAACTCGTCCGGCGGCACCCAGGCGTCGCTGGAACTCTCTTCGCTCACTGGGCCATGGTACCGCCACACCTGGCAGCGTCCGTCAGAGTCCGTCGCTGAGTGGCGGAGCGGCCGACGCCAACGAGGTCCACGCGGGGGGGAGTCAGAGTTGGGGGAATTCGGTGCACGGAGCGGCTTGAACGGGGTGAGAGCTTCAGGGAGAAAAATCGTTCAGTTTGGAGGATCAGCAGGGCCTCTAGCCGCCGGTGTCATTTTTGAAGTTTCAGAGTTGATGCAATCATCAAACAGCCTCCGAAGTGAGCTCTACTAGCTCTTAAGGCACTAACTTGTACAGTCACTTGGGTGTAAATCTTAACCTCAATGGGAAGGTAACCTTTATATATATATATAGAATAGCTTTGTGATATAATATACACAAAACGGAGGCCATTCTAGGTCATGCCGTGTCATGCCCCTTTTTTTCTGGGCCGTGTTTCAGAGGCGACTACCGAGTGAACAAAGGACTCCAGGAGCTGAGGTCACTGGAAAGGCCACGACTAAGCGGTCACGACTAAGCACTCCAAAGCGGTCACGTTTCCAGGTCCGGTTTCCATGAGCTTTCTGGCCAAAAGCACTTGTTTTCAGCGTGTCTGCGACGGTCGGATTTGGTAAACTGGTTTCCATGACGTCAGTTGGTTTGATTGTTCCAGCAACATGCATGGTGAGATCCCTTTCGACACTACTCACTTTCATGTGGTTATCACTCTCACTCATGTTGGATCTTTGGTGCTTCTAGGTCATGGTGCATGAGACGCATCACATAACTGCAATTGGTCTATCAATACGGTGCCCTGTCCCAAGCAACGACGACTAGACTAGCAGGTCCTTGAAGCCATGTAAGGCTGAACAAATCCAAGAAACTCGTCTCAAGTGTTCGCAGATTTGTCCAGATCCTAGAATTGTTTTGCTGGAAATCATGATTCTTTTCTCTCAAACCGTTCTCTTGGTTTCCGCAAGTTTCCACCATCCAGGCGGTTGATGTCCTGTTGAATCCTTTGGGTTTTCTAGTGCTTCCATGTGTTTCCTGTTCAACAACCTCTTGGTCCATCTTAGGTCCTGGGACTCTGTGTTGATCCCTTTTCAACACACTTGCAGGAATTGCAGATCAAACCTTCGACGCCAGGACCCTCACTAGCTGGTTGTCTCGAGCAGGTCTCCAGTGACTAGCAGGTCTCGGGTGCTGGCATATAGCTTTGTCCATCAACACCTATATGTTGGAGGCGGCTGTCCATGGGGTGTCCTGACATTGATGAATTAAAATAAGTATGTTTTCAGGTGGTTTTTGGAACAGTCAGTACCTCTAAAAACAGATCTGGCTGCAATCAAATTCACCAATCAGGTGTATTTATTGATGTCCTCTTATTTCTTTAAAGCATCAGTTGAGAACTTCTGTTCATGTCCTGTTGTCTCCTGTTGTCTCTCTCAAAAACGACTTGACTGGCCAAAGTGGCTGGAACTGTTCTCACATGTTCTCACAGTTCTATCCCCCCTAGGGTGCGAGGTGCGCCGCCGCGTCAAACGGCGCGATGGTGCGCCAAGGGACCCACGTGATCCAATGCCAACCTCAGGCGCGTTCTGGGCGACCAGTCCTGGTACCGTCCTGTCCTGGATTCCTGAATATCCTACAGTGCTGCTGCCTGGTACCCCATGGTTTTCAGTCGTGACATGTCGTTTTCGCATATGAACGAACGACCTGCACCCGTGACCTGCACCGGTGTCCTGTTTCCACTTACCCCCTCTTTTGCAGGAATTTCACGTGAGCAAGCACTGACTTGTGGATTTGGGCATTTCGACAAACAAAAGAATCGACGAAGTGAGACTCGCAGTCGGGTGTTTATTTCTTTGTGCTACTCTGAGATGCTGCTAGTCACTTCCATGCCCATGCTGATCATTGAGAACACTACAATAAAAAGTGCCTTGCCAATACTAAGTACACCGTTACTCAAAAACAATCTAAAAAATAATCAACACATTGCAAACCATGGACCTCCTCCAAGTCTCCTTTTTCATCCTTTTTGCAAACAACAGCCCACTACCTTGCTAGCCGAACCCATACATTCACCTCTTCACTCACCTCTTGCCCCAACCGCCTGCTTGAGGCCTTCTCCTCAGTGGTCAAATCGGTCCCTGCTGATCCATCCACTCCGGAATCCAGCAAGCCACCAGAGGGTAAGCTCATCTTCATCGAGGCTCGCCCATTCACCGTGCCAACCAGCTGCGCCTGGTAGAAGTCATGCGGCTGAAGCGCTTGGCACTTGGCGGTAGGGTGGCATATGGTGGAAAGCAGGGTGACTGGCTTTCCATGGGAGTCGAGAACTGCACACCCTCAAGGAGCCTCAAGAGGCTCTGACCCCCAAAATTGAACCTAGAGTGACTTGCCCAGCAAACCCGCCTCCAGTTCAGCTTCCGTGGACACGTCGACTTGCCGGCCCACAAATCCCCCCACTGGATCCACGCATCCGTCTCCGCACCCCCAGACGGATCCACCACTGAGTAGAGGAAGCTGATCAAGCTGTGACGAAAAGGTGTTGGTTCCCTTCAAACTAAACCGATCTTTGATTGGTTTCACCTGATAATCCTGATACTGACCGGAAACGACCTACCTGGTGTTGGTTTCTCGCACGTGGACGGGTCGGGCTCCAGGTTCCACGACCCATCATAATATGTGTTGCATCCGCAGTCGAAGCTGCGAAGCTCAGCCCAAACCTCTAAGAAGCACAGCCTGGCCCAGTCATACCCCGCCACTCCACCCCATTCTCGAAATCCGCCACTTGCCCCCGCCTCCCGTGGCTCGTGGTTCACATAGAGCCCGCCCCGGCGCTGCCAGGCGCCGCTGGGCTTCTCTTCCAAGGTGAAGAAGAGCTCCCCGGGGCCCACCAAGTCCACGTCGAACATCAACAACGCCTCGCGGCACGACGTGGTCCGCGGAGCTGCGGAAGAGCGGAAGGAGATGCGCCCGATGAGATAGCGAGGGCGAGAGATGCTGGGTGTGCACCGGAAGGTACGGAGAGTTGAGTGCTAAGGGGAGAAGTGAGGACTTCAGGTGAGAGATGGAGTGGTTTGGGAAGTAGCCGAGGCCTTTCTCAATTTCAGTGTGGGTGCTGTTGAGAATCATACAGTATATAAATCCGGTTTTGGACCAGGGAGGCAAACATGGAAGGTGCCGGGGTTTTGTTTCTAAGACAAACCTGGCGCAGGGCATAAGTGGACAAACTCCAGGTGCAAGTTCAACTAGCAGAAGGTCAACCAAGTTCCACCCTGCATATGTTTTGCTGAAGTATAAGAAATCGTCAGTCCACCGAGGATATTCATGATCCGATGGATAAGTGGGCCTGGTGATTCAACAACAAACTAAGCTGCTAGATTCAGTGATTCACCTCCCATCTGGATCTTCAATCAAGTGAATGGAATGGTAGGAGAATCCCAACACAAAAACGCGGCTCCCATTTGTTTGAAATAGCCTCTTATGATACTAGCTGCAGGTGGATGACTCCCTCAGAACATGTGGGCAAGAGAAAGACATCCGGCCATCTAAGGCCCCTTCCAGGCCATCTAAGGCCCTTTTCTCAGACATCCGTTAGCCCCTCTTCTTGGACCAGAACGACTTTCAGCACAGAAATCCCCAGATTCCCTCCCTTCCGGCTCACGGCTCACCCCTTTCGTGCCCACGCGGCCCACGCGTGGCGTGCAGAGCACCAGGGAGACATTCGCCGATCACACGCACACACGCACACACCGCCGATGGGCACCCAGCGGGTCGTCTGATTTTGAGATCCTCCCAGCGAGCGACTTCGTCATCGATCCTTCAGTTGTCTCGCCTTCTCCGAACGTTTCCGAGCCCCTTTTCTGCGTCAAACGGGGGAAGCTTCGACGCTCGCTCCCCAACGACGACGGAGATCCGCTCCCCGAAGCCGTGAAAGTCACGGCCGGATATGCGGAGCGTCTGCCTGGTCTGTGTAGCTCTCCACCTCTTCACCCAAAAAGGAGCTGCCCACCACGGCACTTCGCCCGTCCGCCGTCCGCTGCCACGCGTGCGGGTGATCTTCGGCGGGAGACCTGGTGGAAGAGGACCAAGGGGTGGTGGGTAACGTAGGGCTGAGCGAAAGCTCCAAGAGATTCGTGCTCTCCATGTTTTCTTCCTAAAAAGTGTGTTAAAACTGCCTTAAAAGTGACCAAACGTGCCTTAAAAGGTGCCTAAAAGTGCTTGAAAGTGCTTAAAGGTGCAAAAGTGCCCTTGAAAAGGGCCAACAGAAGTGCCTAAAAGTGCCTCACGTTGCAACAACACCAGTTGGGCCAAACTCGGATTGGAGATGTGTGACGGGCATGGCTGAAGCAGACATGGGGTGAATCTTCACTATAAAGGGCAGCTGTTGAAAAGGTTGATTCTGTGTGCTTCTGGATCGTTCTTCTCGAAATCTGCTAGATTTCCATAGGTCATAGGTCCATAGGTTTCTCCACCTTCTACGAACCTCTACGAAGTCCAACAACCTGACCCTAGGGCTCCAGTCCTACCTCCTCAGACCCACCCCAGTCCCACCTTCTTAGACGGTAGGACTGGAGCCCGGTGAATGAAGCCGTTTGGTTTCCCAGTGGCTCACTGGCATGCATCGAATAAATGGGGTGCTAATCCGGGCCCATCGCCACCTCTGGGTGAATGAAGAATCAAATGCTTTGGGTGACTCATCGGCGACATGATTGGCCGACAGAAAGAAGCTGAATGATTGGCCGGTGAAGATGTGCGGCAATGGTGCAACTGCGCATGCTTGCCCGCGCATGGGGCATCGAAGAAAACAATCCATCATCATGAATTTGATTGATTTCTATGATAGCTGTAATTTATCCATAGTGTTTAAATATGCTGAAAAGGCTTAAACATTCAATGTTGGTCTTTCGCGATTGTGGTCATGATGTCCATGTTTCCAGCTGCAGTGCCGTCCCCAAACAACAGGGAGCCCCTCCATCATGTCTCTTGGTTCCTTGGCCCAGTGGCCGTCCCCAAACCCAGGAGGTGAAATTTTGTGGCCAGCGATGCCAATGGACAATCCTCAGTGGTGGCGTTTTCGTGCCCAACGCAATAGAACGATGGCCATCTTCGGTTGAACTCGAGCGGTGCGGCCGCCCCAAACAACACCTTCCCCAAGCTCGGTGAGTCACCGGAGCCGAACCCGGTCCCAATAAAAGAAGAAACACATAGGAAGAACCGTCAAAACGAAAGCAGAATTGATAGCAGTTTTGTTGGCATCTATTACATCTATTGGATGCTTCAGGAAGATCTTGCCATCTTGCCCAAGAACCTCTGGACCCCCGTTCTGAATGTGTTCCTGTTCTTCGTTTGCCTGTCGGTCGTTGGAACCGTGATCTGGAGACCACCTCAGGACACCAAGGACACCCGGGACAGCCCGCTGAAGGAGCGCTAAGATCGATGCTTCGATTCTTTAGCCCATAAGCCGGAAGTTGTTCACCAAGAGCTCCGATCGATGTTCTAACATAGGGATGTATTGACACAGGCCGGCCCAATGGGTAGACTGGTCTGTTTCCGATCCTCCAAAGGGTTCGAACTGGCAGAGTCTTCTTTCGTCTTCCTAATTCAAACCGCACACATCCTACACAGTACACTCCCTGAACTGGAATCATCACGGGCCAACGTGGAACGCATGGGCCAGAAACATCGGGTGACCGGCTTTCAATCCGAAGACCAAACGGTGACCGCTTTCACTTCACTTACCCAGTTCAGGGAGTGTAAGTATATGTAACGATATATACTGTATAACTGTATGAGATCCAAAATTCCACTTCCATTACTCTCCCTGGAACTAACATGGAAGTGGAAAACCACCTGTTTGTAGTGGAAAATAGTCTTCCAAGGGGGCATTCTCCACTTCCATGCTAGTTCCAGGGAGTGTGATATTCCAAGAAGTCTTCGCCCTCTTCGTGCCCCGCCCAAACAAAAGCCCAGCTCTTGGCCACGACTCTCCAGGGCGGGCATGGCAGTCTGCGGCTCGCGGCAGGTGACTGCTGGACGCGGCACGCACTGCTTCCCATTCGGGCGATACTGGAAAGGCTGGCAGGGAGGGCACGGCTTTTGGACCTCAGGACGCTGCTAAACACAACACGATCTTAAAAATTGAGTGGCATTTTCATGGCGTCCTTGGCCTGGAAAGATCTATGGAACCTGTCATCTATTCTCCTATAGCTGTCTTAGCTGTCGTTGCCTACCATGGTGTATCCATCTAGCCCTTGGCCAATGACTGGGCTGGTGGACTCATGTGCAAGTTCCAAGGAAACACCTTTGTTGGGCTTAAAGACATATTAAAACGATAGTCCTCTCACAACTCCTCCACTTCACCAGGATGAAGCCGCATCCCACATGTGGCCTAAAAATCTTTGAACATACCAGGACCTTCAGTTCGTGACCTCATTGGAGTCTAAATTTAGAGAAGAGTCATGACCTCGTTCTGGGATCTCAAGTTTGGTCACAAACTAAAGGGTCCATATAATATAAGTCCTATGGAACAAGAAATAGCAAAATGACCCAACCCATTCCCCCCAGACTCCTCTCCTATCGCAGTTTCCCCCACAACTGTGTTTCTTTGTCAAAGGCAGGTTCTCCGCGACGGATCGTCGGAAAACTAAACTAAACATTTCAACAAAAAAGTACGCATCAACAAGAAAAGGACTGGGGACTGGGGAAAGAAAAAAACGTGTGTTTCTTGTTTGCGTGCACTCGCTACCCTTGGCTAATGGTACAATGCCAAAGAGTCGAGCTGCCTCGAAAGTTTCAACACATCGAGCCTATCTTTTCTAGACTTGTTGAAGGCTTCAACGCTTCTTGTTACTAGTAGCATACTTGCTCCTAGTACTACGGCCAGGAGCCCCTAGTAGCGTCCTTGCTCCTAGTAGTACGGCC